TTGCTGACCACTTTTTTCTCGGTAGCAACTACGGCTGGAGTTAAGAGGTGACAAGTCGCTTCAGGCAACTACAAGTCGACCTCGGTAGAACAGTCAAGAGTGCCAGTGCTCTAAAAAAGCCAAACCCCTTCCCCGCACAACTGTCGAAATCCATCCGTCCTTGTTCCGCGAACAGCATATCTAGCTGGAACACCCTACCAAAACCCCAGCCTTCCTGTAAAGGCTGTCTAAAGGAGATAGCCGGAAAAGAAAAGAAAGCCTTTTATCAGACTCTCCAGTCACCGTGACGATTGCCACACATGTGATCCCACTGCAGCCGAAATGTATACGGCTTTTGGGAGTAGCATTTAAAACAACTAGGTACAGCGTCAATGTGAAAAGAACGTAGTAGACCAATATGACCCCCCCTCCCACGGCGCATCATCCATGCACATGGTTCCGGCATATCTGCCTACAATGCCGTGTGAGGCCATTCCTCTCTACACGCCCACCCACGGACACCCTTAGCGGCTACTAGAATAGAAGCACCTGCAAAAACCACTGGCGGGGGTGACAGTCCAAAAATCAAGAGCGTCTGTTTCCTCCCATGGACAGTCACACCTGTAAATAGCCAACAAACTACCAGATGGCAACCAGCCGTGTGACCGTCAACATCAGCTAAAACCTCTAAGTTGCTGTAAGCGCCACCTCCACAACATGTCGCGAAAAATGGATTACAGCGCAAAAGAAGGCACGGGTTCTCCACAAAATCCAAGCCACAGTACATGACAACACGGACGTCGATTGTAGGCTGAAGTCCAACATCCTGAATGTGTAGGTACAGTGACTGTCTACTTGAGAAAGGAGCATTGTTTGACAGGTGCCAATATGAAACGGTGTGGCGCACACTAGGACCAGGTAGACCAAGGGCAAAACTGTGCGTAGCTCTACTGAGACGGCCATTCATATCTACAAAAACCGCTGCCGACGACAGTAACTCTGAGCTCGTTAAGGAGCCCACAATGATCTTCAACCGCTCATGTGACATTAGGGCTAGACCAGACTGCATAGCCCGTGAGAAAATTATTTTGAGAAGCGTTCCACGCTCCGAAGAAGGTGACCATGGTTATCCCTGGTACTGGAACTAACAGCAGGTAGACTATTGGAGAAGTTTAATCGTGACGTCTAGCAATAGCGGCAGCTGTCGGCAAGAATGGAGCTGGATAGAGTAGCAGCGGAGGCGGCCCGCAGGCTGCTGTGTACCCTGCATCTGACAACAGTTGCACCATCGGGATCGATGGCCTCCAACTCCGGATGCCCAAGGCTGTAACCGGAGGATAGCAAACTTGGTATGCAGAAGAGTCCAACATCAGGTGGAAAGTTTGCGAAAGCAGAACATTTGTGAAAGCAGACCAAGGACAATGCGAAAACAAACGACAGGCGCTCTTCACCCTAAGGTCAACACTGCTGCAATTGGGCAGGACATCCAAACTGATTTTTACTGGATGATATCTTCAGAAGCCACCGTGGGAAAAGCTCCGGCTGGGCCAGCATCAACTTTTGTCATTGTACATACCCCTCTAGAATCCGCCACCATCAAGAAACTCTACGCTGTTCGTAGAACACCCAGGTGTCTTTACTGTAATGTGGATGAAATGGCGGATCTATGATCTCTCCGTTCCCATCTTGCCCCAAAGATTATAATCCTGAAAGAAGCTTGGTTATCACTGGACGTTAGCGGTGCCAAGGCTACTGTGGGTGGCGTGTGTCCGTTCAGGCAAGACATAAAATAGAACGAAGGGAGTGGGGTGGCAACGTTTAGGACTGATCACCTCGAAAGTAAATTGGCCAATGAAACTCTACTGTCAGGGCCTCGAGACTTGTCTCTCCACACTTCACGGTTGGACATACTAAGTATCTAGTGGGGAGGGGAGACACGACCCCTATTGACAACGTGAGACAGAATCAACTGCTGCTCCAAGTAATGTACTCAGTGATGAACATGGAGTGTTACCAGGTCATCATAGTGGGGGATTTCAATGCCGAATTCTCAACCTCGAGCTGAAAAAGACAGTTTCAAGCCAGACGTCCGGCCATAATCCACTCAACTCCGTCTAAAAGGCTGAGCTGCTTGAAAATACTGACCATGATACTCTCATGGGGTCGGGTAGAAAACAATCTAGGCTAAAATGTCTTCTTATTAGCGACCGTCCGACAGCAGAAAGCATTCACATTCAAAGCCTTCTGTCAGCAGTGGCCACAGCATGGTGGTGTTTGATCTATGTTCAGCCGACAACCATGATGGGGTGATTGCTCTCTTGTCTTGTCTCAAGGCAAACCACGCAGTGTTATCCTGAAAAATGCACCAGAAGTCACAGCAGTGCTAAAGACCGAACCTCATGGCTGGAATGAAGGACTGGATGCCCCCTGAAAGCAAAAGGGGAAGCACAGCACAGCTGGAGGATCCTCAAAAGTAGTCAGTCATAGCTTATATATATTGCTCTATCGAACCTATCCGTCATCGAAGTGGGGTCAGGCAGAAGGTCGTTCCGCATATACCTCTCCGAAAAGCTTGAAGCGAATGCCAAAACCCATATTAATTCGTGGTAGAGGGAAAATCTACCAGCTAGGGAGCTCGCCTGATGAAAAGCATGAACAGTCAGGGCCCCTCTTGACTGCAGGTCGCCGAGACCTTTAGCGCCATGTTCGACGCACACTTAAGCGTGCAGTCATCTAACCAAAACTAGAAACTGCCTGAGCAACCTCCAGCACTACTTAACGCGGAAGAGTTCCACGGAATAAAGACAGCACTTGCGATAGTCCTCAAAAGCCTTCGTAGCTTCGGGCAAGAAAATCACTGGTGTGCGACGACATTCAACGCCCTGTGTCGAGTTAATGTGCAAGTGCTGTGTGCAGTTCGCCGTCTAATCTGCTTCAACGCCCCCTAGACGAATACATGCCTCCACGGAATGAAAATTTACCGTTCTCTCCCCCATCTTCACGCAGCAGACCAGCAAAATCCGTAGTGCTGTTGACCTATACACTTCCACCAGTACTGTCTAAAGTAATGGACGGCCTAGGAGATGACCACGTTAGGGAGTACTTGGACAAGACAGCAGCATTATATGATACTCTACATGGTCTCAGAAGGGATGAGTCCTCCACCGCGGACCTTCTGGCGGCCAGTGGTTTCTAGTTGGCAATCCGTTCGTGTAATTTTCTTAAATTTCCCCAAGACCTTTTACACATTCACATACCCCATTCTCACATACAAGATCCTAATCTCGGGCATTAGTGGTTAAGTGCTTTCCTGGCTTCAGGACTATTTGCGCAGAAGAGAACTCTTTACGAAAGTCGACGAGGTTTGCCTGACTTCGGTGACGTCATCATCTGGCGTACCACTTAGATGGATTTCGGGTCCGCCGCTATTCCCCCTTTTTGAGAATGACCTTCCACTGATTCGCAGCTTCCCGTTCCACTCCACACTGAGGATGCTGAGTTATGTAGGGCTGTGACATCCGAAACAAAATCACACGCACTGCAAAGTGGTCTCAGACTGCTTGTTGAGTGGGTGAATAATAGTGAACCAGCGCTTAAACTGGATAAGTGCCAAACCATGTTTCGACGTGCCCACAACTCTTGAAAGGTAGCCTTCTCTCTCCATGGTGTGCGACGTTTTCAAACCACCATGGAGAAAGACCTGGGACAGATAATGAATTGCGAGCTAGAAATCTACTCCAATTATCCAGATCTCTACAGAACCTTCGCACTACTGAACCTTAAACACAAACAGCTAAGCGCCGTCACTTCGGAAGTCTTCTAAAGTATCTACGGGACTTACATATAACCTCACCTGGAAATCCAAACGGGACTGCACCACCACATCTTAAAAGCGATGTCAGCCTCCCAAAGAAGATTCAGAGGCAGGCAACCAAAGGGCCCTGTGAGAATGCGGGAAACCTTATGGGGACAGGCTGAAAGACCTGGGGCTATACTCTCTTGGCTACCGTATTTTACGCGGTTGCATGATAGCAGCTTACGGGATCTAGTAGAATCCTACCGAACGACCACCATGGCAACCTTTCTAGCAGCCCAAAGAGACCCGTTCACCAGAGGGCGAAAACCCATGTCCACTCCCTTTTCCGTTCCGCGAGTTTGCGGCCACTGGAACACGTCGCCTGCCGAGAATGGTACTGCTCTACCTGTCGTCAGATTCAAGGGGTTAGAAAGCTTCGCAGCGACGCATGATTTGTGCTCATCCAGCTGGGGTACCGACTACTTTGACACAACCCACTAGCTCTGCACAGCCCAGCACAATCAACCCCATACCAAACATTTCGTACAGCAAACTTCACCTGACCTCACATTTTTCTGCTAGGCTTCTTACCTCCAGTTGTCATACTTCCAAAAATAACATTACTATTCCCATTCCAGTTACCTCACTCGGTCCTTCTCCCCCTCTCTAACTCCAAGATCCAACACCTCACTAATCAAGGCTCTCCTTATGGCTATTTCCTCCTTGAACCTATCCAGGTTTCCAGTTCCCTCCCGTTTCACTTTTTTCATCTTGTTTTTGTCCAGTTTTTCTCCCTTGTCTTCCACGGACACGATTTCTTCCTTTTTATCCTCTTTTTACAGCCAGTTAGGACAACTGCCTGCTGACACGACACTTAAAGATTCTGTCTGCGCACATATCCTTGGAAAAATCGTACGATCATTCCTAACCCAACTGACGCCCGACCACCTGTTGAGCTTACCATTGCCGCAGCTGGCGAATGGGCAGACCTGTTGCATCTGGATCCATCGGAAGAACTCAGATAGTTTTAATTAGCTCGTAAGGAGTCCACTAGTTCACTGATTCTGTATATGGGAGCCAGTAGAGTGGAAGCCTCATCTATTCCACGAACAACCCTATGAGACCGTTTGGAATCTTTTTTGTGAATCCTGTGGCTGTATAAATCCTGTCCAATACTTAATATTTTTGTTTTAATCAATACCTCTATTGACTACGGAGAAAGAGCATTTTTAAGATAGGAACATGGTTAGCCAAATAAAAGAAATGATCTCATTTAGATATAGCCTCCAAAAAAGAAGCCAGGGAAAAAGAAGGGAAGAAATCATCTACATCTTCAAAGTCGAAGACACCAACCGTCGTCGATGGAGTGTCAACAGCGGAGATGACGAAAGAAGAATTAGAGGAACATATAATAAGACTTCGAGAGGAACTAGAAAGAGAACGAGAAGAAAGAAACTACTTTCAGCTTGAAAGAGACAAAGTGAACACATTCTGGGAGATTTCCAAACAACAACTTGAAGATCGCTCGTCTGAACTTAGGAATAAAGAACGCGAAATGGAAGAATCTGAAGAAAGGCATCAATTAGAATTAAAAGTAATGATTTACGAAGTGTATTTATCAGATTCCAGGTTTATAAACAAAAAGTCAAACATCTTCTCTACGAACATCAAAATCACATCTCGGAATTGAAAGCTGATTCTGCAACTGCTATCCGAATTAATCAGGAAGAAAATGCACAAGTCCAGGGACTTCTAAGACAAGACCAGGAAAATTTGAAGGTTAAGTTGAGAGAAACTCAATTTTCGAGCGAGGACAACGTGAGAACTTTGAAAAAGAAGCATGAAAATGAAGTAATTGAAATATGTTACTGTATATGTTAGATGCATGAAATAAGAAAAGACTTTGAAAGGAAGATGGAAGAACAAAAAAGGATTTACGTGAAGAATACGAAAGAGCTTCGAGAGAGGCTGGATCTACAGCGGAAGAACGAGCTTCACGAAACTGAAGAAAGGAAAAATAACCACATAAACGCTCTTATGCGCAGTCATGAAAAATCATACGCAGAAATGAAAAACTATTATAACGACATAACTCTGAACAACTTAGCTCTCATAAACACACTAAAGGTATGTTTAAAAGTTCCGTATTATATTTCGCTCACCAAAACCACTATTAAAAAACAATCCAGTGGACTGCTTTTTTTATACTTTTAAAGTACTGAAACACAATAGGAAGGTTAGCATGTTTCGTATTTTCAAGCATAACGCGTCCTTTGTTATTCTTATTTTTACTTTTGGTGAAAGGTATTTTAGTGAATAAAATAGTGCAGTTACGAATGAAAGTTCACCATAGCAGTTAGTTAAATTTCACATAGTTGTTCTGAATATCCACAGAGGGTTGTATGATACAAAAAACAGAGTGTGCCTAACAAACAAAACTAGAATTTTGTATTTGCTAATTACGAGGGTCATGTAAACAAAATCACAACATTTCCCTCCATTTTCCAATCAAGTTGTGGCAACGTGAAATCAAAATGAATTCCTCTGAACTAAAAACAAGAAATAAGTTTGTTCATGTATCTCCTAGTGAACTTAGCTGTACATTTATGTCGAAACTAATGATAGAAGCGTGACCAATCTTGCAAAAGTCAGTTTTCAGATACTTTCTTAGTTTTAAGTGAGAAATGTGAGGTGGATTGTATTCACTTGCCCATTCAGACTAGGCACAAAGGATAATTCAAATCTTTCACATAGTGGACAACATCATTGCAGGAACAATGTCTAACTGAATTACACTACCATATTCTATCCCCGTTTACATGCTTTAAGTGGTTCGCACGGCAACCTTGGACTAATTTATGCATAAAAAATTTTTTTGTTCAGCGTGATTCTCAGAAGCATTTTAGTCGGGCTTTTAAAATATAACAAAATGATACATCTCTTTTGCCACTGTAAATATGTTCAACATGTTCGGGCATCTGGGAGATTGATGGGTCATAAATCTGTTTGGTAATTTATATCTGACAAATAAAAAAGTGTTTTTTCAAGGCAACTTGCCATATATGTCTACTTTTTGTCGAAGATTGGGTTAGTAATTTCCGCAATAATAACAAAAGGTTAGTAAACAGCTGAATCTCTGAATTAATTGAACAAACTGTTATTCATTTTTCTAAACGTTTTTCAAACCAATACACAATGAATGTTCTAATTGCTTCATACTCTCCACCTAACGACATTGAAGCTTCAACTTTTTCAGTTTACGGACCCAGAAAAGTGCTATAAAGACTAAGAAAGATACTCATTTATTTCTGGTTTAATTAGGAAAAGCAAAAATATTTTTTCCTAAGTATGACCAGTCGATAATTTTGTAACTTATTCTCGTAAATGAGGATCCAACCTCCATTTTTATTCCTCACGCTTGCACGCAAATATAAGCAAACATCGGTAGGTTTGCCTTATTTCTAAAACATGATAAAGTTACCGAAGTTCGTGATTGCATCTGAAACCTCACATGTTTGGATTAGAAATTTTTGATCGTACTCTTATCAACATCTTTGAAATTCATGCCTAACTAAAATAAACGTGACTTTTCAGCCTGAAGGTTCTTTGTTTCTTTATAAGACAAGGGCTTGAAGAAACTTACGGAGCCCTTGGCCGAAAAAATCAGATTTAAGGTCATGTTACCTAAGAAATTCAACCATTAACCTTTTTGATCAACGTGATTAACAATGGCTACCAGAATTTATTTCTAATGTTACCTCCTCCTTCATGATCACTTTGACTATTGAAACTGCTTGTAATACACAACAGCACTGTAGAACTCTTATTCAAATTATTTTGTGGTGTTAATTTGTTTCGAACTAGTCAACTGAAACTGTGAAAAGTGTATGTCGGCAGATTGAAAAATGTCTGGATAGAAAGGCTATTTTTAAGTATTAATAATTTCTTCAAACTATAACTACGCACCCGGTTACCGATGAATACGAAGAACAATATTTATTCAGTGAAGAAATACTTTTCAAAGACTTTATTATCAAGCTTTGTATTCACACTTAATAATAAGTAAAAATCAGTTGATTTTACTACTGTACTGCTGAGTCAATATATACTTGGTACAAGTGTTGCTCATTGATGGTTGACTCATATGGAAAAGAAAAAACAGCGCCACCGAGAAAGAGGGATTGCTTAGAAAGCATACGGAATGCATCAGTTCATGTGAAGGAAGTGTGAAATGGTCGTATTGATGATAATCATGATAAAATTAACAGTGAGTTAGAAAAAAAACATGAAAGTAGGTACGTCATTAGGATCTACATGAACATATTTGATTACAGATCTCAGTTTCTGATCATGTAAAGCAGTTGCCTCGATTACATAAAGGTGTTGAAAAATGCAAGCCATTAAATCGGCTTAACTCAACCCTATAAGTTATTTCAAGAGAAGGATCACTAGGATCCGAATAACGCCACTCCATTAGACGTTCAGGCATGGATGATGCTTTTGTTACAACTGGTTTGAGCTGAAACAGCTCATTTTTGCCTACAACTCAAAAGTAGTTGGAGTAAAGGGTTTGAAGCTGTTTTCTTTCTATTCTCTGTGAGGTCGTTTCAAATGCTAGAAAGTTTAGGTAGCATATATAGTCTCCATATCCTCATTCTTCTAAACTTTATCTTTTCAGTGTTTTCTTATTTTGACCTAATACGAAGAAATAATTCAAAAGCAGGTTAGAAAAGGAGGAGTCCCATACTAGGATGAAACAACTGTCCAGTGCTCCCAGGTTTCCTCCGTTCCTCCAGCTGATGTCAGTCTATGGTGAATAACAACTTGAAATATTTCCAAGTCTCCACAACTCCCTCAAAATTTAAAAGTAAAATGTCTTGTGCGCGTTTCCCAATACTTTTGCTTATCAGCAAATCTAAGGTTATTAGTAGATATTGATTAGTCGTGGCATCTCCAATCCGTGTTTCATTTCATTTTAGACCCTGATATTTGAAGCAGTAAGTACTTGGTGAGTTTGCACCTCTGTCGTAAAACAACGAAAGGCAATTATTATCTTCCTAAGAGATGATATGTTCTTTAAAGATTTCACTGCCTGCAACTTTATATCACTTTAAAAATAGTCATTTTCAAGATACTGAGGAATAAGCGCTATACGTCAAGATGTCAACAGTCTGAATAAAAAGCTACTGGAAACAACAAGCTGCTGTATTTAAACATATTATTTAACAAGCAATATTCAAATAACTGGCTTGTTTTAACGATTGTGAAAAGCTACAGTCTTTTCATTGCTTTGGTTTCATCGTTCACCAATCTCACATTGTTTTAAAAACAATAAATTTATCTAATATTTACAGGAACAGTTAGAAGAAAGGAAAAAGAATGAGGAACGTTTAGAACGTCGAGCAACTGAGATAGCAGCTGAAAATCGCCGGTTAGTTGAACCGTTAAATAAAGCTCGTGAAGAAAATAATGAGATGAAAAGACAAATGACCAACTATGAAAAGGATAAGATTGTACTTAAAGTAAGTTGCATACTATTTTTGTAGATACATCTGCATTTATGCTGAATGTAATGAAATCCCAACAGATCCATCCATCCAGATCAACCTGGGACCAGGCATCACTGCTTAACGGTCCGAGTTGCAATACCTCATATCAGTACATCAATTAAAAAGGCAGTGAAGCGCAAGATGAAGATAAGAGAATGTAGTCAAAGATATTTGTCCTCTTCTAATCTGTAGGTTTTAGGAAATCAAAGCAATGTGGACCCAGTAGTTCATAATTTGGCCTAGTTACTACTCCATCAACCTCCACAACCCTTGCTTGAATGTTCTAGTCCGAGGGATTTTTGTAAAGTAGCATCTTTATAATCAATTTAAAGCTGACATAAAAACATATGCTTGTGCAGGAACAATGGTGGGGAAGGAACAACGCTTTTCGGTTAATGAAGCGTTTACTTTTTTGAAGTAGATAAAGCATAGATACAAATGAGTAGTCATTATCGATTTTTGGCATTATATCATTTCTATTTTTTTTGTTTAAACAAATAACTCTAAAGTCCAATCAAATTTCTTCATTTCGGCCAGTAAAAAGATGCTTTATTGGAGTGAAGCAACTTATTCGTTTGTTTTAGTGGTTGTTTGCATGGTCTTTAAAGATATTTGTTTAAACTCTTAATCTTCTCTTCCTGAGTTTCTCTAAAGGCCCACCCTAATAACAACTGAAATAACCAATTAGACTTCTTTATTTCATGAAAATCTGACTTTTCAACAGAAATGAAGAAAACCTAATTGAATATTTCAGACGTTTTCAGGATGTGCTTTAGAGTTACTCCTCCCTTTTTGTAGTTCAGATGTGCAACAACCCGAAAAAATGCAGTTTTGTGAAACATTTCGTATTTTTGTGTCAATCTTTTTATTCAACTTGTGGTCAGAATTCATAGCACAATAAATAAGGATCTCTCTGAAGTCATCTTTGTGTTAAAATTACTCACTAACAATAGTGATAAACTTCAGATTATACTCAGAAGACCAGGTGTAAGGTATATGTGAAATTTGTCACTTTCGGCCGTTAATTTCCTTGACTATAAAGACTAAAAGTTGGATATACATATCCACCAGATATTTCAGCCTGTACTGAGTAATGGTAATATATTGTGTTGGTTGTCAATGAAATGAAAACAGCTGATTATTTGGAACCTATCACGAATTTATTTTCTTTCATATTATTTCTATTAGGAATTAAAATAGATATATGTACGTCAGACAGTGGGAAGTTATTCAGTGGGTAGCTGGGTTACAGTATTGTTCAGATAGATAGAGCAATCAGTTGGGACGAACGGAACACAATCAGCTACCTTGTCCATGTCCGCGCAGTAGGCAGTGAGCCACACCTATTGTGTGAGTGTCAGTGATACTACCTGGCTACCCACACCTAGATAGGTTGAGCTAACCTCCAACCCATGACCTGGTGGTTGATAGTCAACGGCTTAAGTCAGGACTTCGCATGAGGTGACATTATACCTGGTAACAGCACAGAAAGAGGAAATGAGCAAAAATATGCTGCTTTTCAAATAAGCATAAAGGTTGTATTGCAAGGGAAGAAAAATTACATGAAGAGTAGTAAAATGTCCCAGACTTCAAAGATGACTTAGAGATATATACGTCTACGATTTTCGTTAATTTTGGTCCTTTTCTGTAAGTGACTTGAACTACTGATACCAAGTATTTTGAGGACCTTACCCGGGCATCTGACGAATCCCCTTCATGTCTCAAATCGGTAGCCATAGATTTGGTGTATTAGTTTCATGTCTTGAACTGGCGATATTCAACTTTACTGAAACTCATCCTTACGTCAGTTAACATGGCTTGCAGAGACAAGCAGTAGCTCATCACGCACAATAACTGTCCTAGTCCAGTATGCCTGCTTTTCCTGGCATTCTTTAGCTAACTTCAGCGTTGAAAACTGTAGGACTGCATCAAGCATATATAAAGTCAGAGCCATTTCCTGTCTGATTGTGAGAGCATTCTGTTTTCAATCGCTACCAAGCACGAATAAATCACTCAGCAGGTGTATACATTAGTTAATTGGAATATCATGAAAAACTCATCTTTTTGCTGATGCAATGAAGGTTGTAAGTAATAACTCACATAAAACTAAGATTTTCAGTGATACTGCATACTTCTTAAAACCTACTCTGTTCCACATCATGAATTAAAAGATAACCTCTGAAGTAACTTACTTTAGTAGATAGAATTCGTTGTAAAACTATGGTGTAGTATCTTTTCTAGGTAATCGAGCAAGATTCATTTTAAATTCTTAGAACTGAATGTTTTACTCATTTATTTATTTTCCTTTCTTTTCTCAGCAAACTAAAGTTTTACTGAAAACATATGAAAAAGAAAAGAAACATATAGAATGGAAGTATGATATTTTAGAGCAACGATTTAAACAAGTAAGTATATTTGAAAAACTTCATTACAAATCACAATCAACAAAACTAATTCTGCTTTGAATGATCCACAAGAAACTTTTCACCTAGACTTTGTGTTATTTAAACCATCAAGTAGCTGAACCAGGTAGTGACTTTACGTTGCAGAATGGCTAGAAAGTCCACCATGGTCAGGTTTTATGAACGATATTTGAGAATTGACTGCTTCCCACATCCTTTTTTCAAAGTTATTCGGTTAATGAAACTTCCTCCTTCTCAGAAGAATTTGCGTTGGATAACCAAATCGCATAACCAAACCACCTCGCATCGCATGACATCAGCTATCCTTGCTTGATGGCCTTCTTGATGAACTGAATATTGCTTGTCGCATAAAGCTCACCGATTTGATCTATGACCTACAGTCGAAGACATCTGGAAGCTGGGAAAATAAACTCATACAATCCCAAGTGAGAGAGAAATTACATGAAGGATTTCCTAAAACTCCAAAGAAGTACATATGCTATCTCTCTAATGTCACACTAAATAAGATGGAAACTGAAGCTATGTCTCTTGGATTTAAATTTCATATACCATTTGAACGCATTAATCGAATTGATACAGAAGCACAATTTGAAAACTTATACAAGCAACTTCACGATGTGAAGCCTATAGATGAGGACAGAAGAAGCTGGTTTAAATCTGAGCTGGTCGATATTGCCAATCAGTTCTGGATATCTTCATACCAGCAGTCAAAGATTTCGACTAAGTGGCATAGACTGACGCTGAAAAAGCTATTCAAGAGTCACGAAGTTATAACTAGAGCTGATAAGGTGTGTAGTGTCGTCATAATGAATAAAAACGACTACTTGCATAAAATGCTGATGATGTGGAATTCGTCGAGATGCGACAGTTTCAGTTGAAAACAAAGTAAACAAGCACCTCAGAGAACTTTTGAAGAAGCAGTTGATTGATGGAGCAACCTGTTGAGAACTTAAACCAAGAGATTCACAACTGCCTTTCATGTATGGCCTTGCAAAAATCCATAAGTCCAGTGTCCGTTTGAGGCCTATTTTGTCCGTGATAAATTCACTTTGCCACAAATTGGCTCATTGGTTAGCAAAGAAATTGGAACCCATCAGAAAAGCGCTCGCAAATCGCAGCTTGACGGATACATTCCAATTCTCTGAAGAACTGGATAGATTAGATATTTCAGATAAATTCATGGTATCGTTCGATATTTTCTTACTGTTTACGAACATACCGCTGGATGAAAAGATAGACATAATCTGTCAACAGTCTGATCTACTACCATTGCCGAAAACAGAACTCAAAGAATTACTTCCCCTCCTTACAAAATATGTTCAGTTCCAGTTTAATAATCAAGTATACTGGCGAACTGATGGAGTGGCTATAGGTTCACCACTAGGACCTATCCTATATGATACATTCATGTCTCATCTCGAGCGAACAAGTCTAAACTCTGCGATCAGGGAAATGACACAATACTGCAGGTACGTCGATGATACTTTCATCGTTTATGATAGTATGAATCATGCATCAGAGTTGTTCGACACCTTCAGTCAAGCTCACCCAAATATTAATTTTACAATGGAATATGAAAATGGGGACAGATTCAATTTCTTGGACCTGAGTGTGAGACGGAGACGTGATAATACAGTTGAGAAAACCATACACAGAAAAGACAAGTGGACTGGTCAGTACCTTCGCTACAGTAGTGTCAGTTCTGTTAGCTGTAAGCGTGATTTAGTCAAGACGCTATTCACTAGAATAAAAAGGCCGTATTCTAAAGACAAACAAGAAGAAGAATTCGAGATAATTGAGAAGGCTGTCATAGAGAATGGATACCCGAAGAAATTCATCATGAAGCATGGAGAAAAATTTATTGAGGGACAAAAATTCCGACTGTTGAGAAGAAGCCTGTTTTCCTTCACCTAGCTTTCAAAGGTGATGAGACATCTGAAAGAACAGACAAAAGAATAAAAGCTGCACTGAGAAGGAGCTTTCCTGCTGCCAGACTGAGCTCAGTTCACAATACATTATGTTGAATAACACAACAGAAAGTAGACAAATACCCATCTCACCTCCAACAGCGTATATCAATTCACCGGTGCTTGTGGAGGCAAGTACAATGGACGGACTGAAAGAGGGGTTTCTACTTAATTTTATGAGCATATTCCGAGAAATCTACATCTGAATTGTAGCAATCGCGCAATCGCCAGGCATCTGATGGAAACAGGACATCAAATATGTGTTCCTGAATCTTTCAGGATAATCAATAAACAAAGAACACCATGTTTTTTACGGTTTATGGAAGCTCTCACTATCAAAAATTTTCAGCCTGACTTATGTACTCAGAAGGAAATAGTAATTAACCTTTTTTTTGTATATGTCTGTATACAATCTTCCCTTTTCTTTTGATTGCATCATCTCTTCATTAATTACTTACCGAATATTAATCACGTAACGATTTCCAAATTTTTCATGTGATTACGTAACCTATTAACTCTTAAACAGTCCCTTCTTTCACACTTATTTTCATTTGTTCTCCCCCCTCCACTCCACAGCTCCAGAATTTTCTATCTCATCAGATATAAATAACCATAGATTTTGACTAAGATTTGTAACTATTACTCCTGTGTTTCTTTGACTCTCTCACTACCTTATTGTTAATCCAGGATTTCATATTCCCATTTATTTCTACATATTTAATGTTGTGTTATTATTGCTACCAATAATTCATTCCGATTGTAGGCTGTTTGCAGCTGATCGAAGGCCATGAAATAAATAGGCCCATTTTATTCTGTAAATGTCTTTGTTCTTGGATTGTTCAATTGTTCTTACCAGTGGTACATTAGTAAGTAGTCTTATCTTTGATATTAATATCACTTAAACAGTCAATAAGGTCAAACGTCATCCATCCATCCAGATCAACCTGGGACCAGGCATCACTGCTTAACGGTCCGAGTTGCAATACCTCATATCAGTACATCAATTAAAAAGGCAGTGAAGCGCAAGATGAAGATAAGAGAATGTAGTCAAAAGAAATATAAAGTACGAAAAGAGAGAAACGAAGAATGAGCAAGTGGTGAGACTGGGTATGGCGTTGTTAAGATGAGGATAATATATGTATACATCTGCGCCACTGACATCGGTTCTGAGCCATATCACCTAGAGTCTCCAACCACTGGTCCTCTTGTCCCGCAAACCCTAACCGGCTAGTCTGCATCACCCGTCACGGCTTAAACCAGCAGTCAAAGACTGCATACATTGGTGCCATGTTTTAGTCTGGCCACCTCGAGCCTTTTTCTAGCTTGGACCTACTTTAGCCAACATTATGTGACGACGTCAAACGTTTCTTTCAATGAGGACTTACATAAATGCCTTCTGATGGAGCTCAAGAGCTTAACCAGCCATTTAGCTAGATAATGTGTGGCTGATCGACACATAGACAATATTGGACGCAGCGGATTGTCAGGTTTTTGAGTTTTAGGTAACCCATATTCATGTGGGTGTTCAGATCCCATAGGTTTTAGACAATTAAATTCATGTGGAGCATTTTTATGAGTTTGAAATATACTTTGCCCTCTAGTTTAAGTATTCCTTCAGAGAGGACATCTGACGTAAATTTGCTTTCATCACTGAGAATGGATAAAATCTTACTTGTATAATCAGACGTGTTCATAACGACCATATCCGATCCTTTATCATGTTTTACTATGACAATATGAGTTAGTTTATAATCCTTTCACTGATTTGAACTGCGCACGCGTTAAGACGCTTTTCTATCTTGGACCAGGACTATGAAACCCATGAGCGATGTCTACTAATTTAGCTCTTAACCAGTTCAAATTGTTTACTCTCTTATATATCTTTGCCTACTTTCATATCAAGCCTTTTCCATCTGTTCTTTGTATGCTACGGTCAAGTATGGCAACCTGAGCCGATGCACTAGTATGCGAGGTTCTACATTGATTCTCTCTGTCTGCCTGGTGAGATTTGAGATACGTTAAATAACTTGTAATTCTCTTTAGAAATCATCTGATTAGTTCATGAATATATTTCAGAATACTGTGGTATACTATTTACGTATATTTCTAATCTAGATAGAAACTGAACGCGATGATTTATACGCAAAATTTGTACTAGCTATTCAAGAGGTTCAACAAAAATGTGGATTAAAGAATATACTACTGGAAAAACGCTTAAATGCACTAACTGAAACAATCGAAAAGAAAGAAGCACAATTAAGTGAAGTCTTATCGGCGAGTAATTTAGATCCGATTGCTATGGCAACAGTATCAAGAAAGTTAGGAGTAAGTTACTTTATCAAATACAGAAATATGCATTTTTATCAATTAAATTTTTATGCTTAAATGTTCTTATGTTATATAGTGGGAGTGAAAGAAAGTTAAGGTTAGATAGGATATAGCAATACACCAATTTCTGAAGTCACTGATAGAAGGCTAAAACTGTTTAAAAATATTTACGCTTCTTCACTGGGATTTTTGAGGTGTATTTTGTCTGGAGTGTTAGTTTTCCTTAAAATAACAAACTGTTATTGGTTATCTCGTCAGTTGTTAATGTGGGCTTTAAAATCACTATGTGACTAATAAATTAGATTCAACACAAGGTTCTTAGGGACTTTTTTACTAACAGTTCAAAAAAGTCAGTATTACTCTAAAAGCCATCCTGCTAACTGAAGAAACGGCAAGTCAGATTCCTATATTTCGACTAGAAAACTAGTTTTTCATAAAATAAAGTTAGTTGGTTAATTCAGTCGCTGCCAGGGTGACGACCGTTTAAGTCACTTGTTAAAGGCCACTTCAAGAATTGATGAGATAGCCAGTTACAGTTCTCTATTGTGTTAAAGACTAACATCCTGGTTAAAATACTCAAACCTGATTGGTTACCTTGACACTGGCTAGAGGGGGTCTTTAAACTCACTCGTTTCACACTTTTCTTTCTTTATGGCGTCATAATATAAAATCACAAAACTCTGACATGCTTATCTGTAGTCTGCACCCCTCAGTTTTGATAATATGAAGGTATCTATGACATCCATGCAATGAAAAACTCATCGAAATAAACTGCTGAACAAAATGAGTAGTTAGAAACCAATAATGTTAATCTGTGGATTTCTCTATCCAGATCAGAGTAATCTAAACACTGGACGGCGAATTCTTTTGGCTGCATATTATAGACATCCTTAAGTCTTATTGAAGGCGAACTGTCTTCTAACTATTTAAGCATTATGTATTTCATCGACATGACCTCAAGTTCATAAACTAAGCAACATTCAGCCAAATCGCTTCATTTAACTCTGTATGGCGATCAATTAGTGACTCTGAACACCACCTTATTAACTGTTACGGTAACTAGTTTGATTGACTGACTGACAGATTAAATCAAAGCAGAACTTTTCACACAAGTCCATCGGCTCAAGGTCCCATGCATTACAGTGGTATACAAAGAACGAGTGGATAGAAAAAGCGTCATGTTAAAGTTTATAAAGTTACGTACGAGAATAACCAACTTAGAGATAACGCTTAATATAAATATTCGAGCTTTAGAAGATGTCAAACAGTGAATATATCTGCTCCATTGTCACCGATTTCCAGGCATGTTACCAAGAAACTTCAATCAATGATTCCTTTCTTTATTTCACCTAGAGCTGGTAGTATGACGTAAAATGTGGAAACTTAATTGGTTATTTTGGTATATGCAAGAGTGATCTTTCACTTTCTAAATATTTGGCAATCACTAATGAGTATAAGGAATGATGATAAAATTAGTGTCTGACTAGGAAATCTTGTTTTACTTTGTTGTGTAAAGACTGATTAACTTTATAAAAATCTTGAGTTTTAGAAAATATGTTCAGTTAAGGGTTCATTTTTACTGTCACCATAACGACATAGATACTGAACCTATTGATTTAAAAAAACTGATTTCTTCATTTTTTTATACCTAATTGGTAAATATTTCCAATGACTACAGTGTTTTCATTGAGTTTATCCACTTCTACTTTTATTGTGTTACAGTTTTTCAATTTTCAATTTCAACTTTTGTTTTATTATTTTTCATTCTCATTCATTCATACTTTAGTCCTTTTACCCATCTGTCTAAATTACAGTTCATTAAATAAAATTACTCAGACTTTTATGATAATTTATTTGGCAGAATTATAAAACTTGATAATCCTTGGGAAGCTATCACTTCTGAGAATTAAGTTATGATATTAGTTTCTACCGTCCTATTAATTATAGTATAGAATTAAATAAGGTCACTTCTAATCTAAGGAACTTAGTGATTATATAATTTCGAGGTTTGTGGAGATTTTATTGATTTTTAGATGGTATACATCATGGACTAGCATCATTTGGAGAACAACTGAATACTTGTCAGCACTGAACAGCTGCTTCATCCTAATATGGGACTCATTAGTAGTGTACACCTATACCCCTGCCACGCAAAGGATTGAATCCAGGACCTTCAAATCCTCAATGAGCACGTTACTATTGAACCATTGGGTCGGAATTCAGTTATCCACATTTTCTTATCTCTGTTTGTTCATGATATTGGGCGAACTTCATCCAATAACGTCTTTGAGTACCTTTCTTCACGTTCGACTTGGTATGTCACAACAGTCAAGACTTCCTTGAACTTAACACGTAGCTGTTTAGTCTCAGCCTAGTTTGACGCAAAAAATAATCCTAAGACCATAATCAATTAACTTTTTGTGAATATAAAGGCACCTTAAAGGTAGATACTAACCAGCATAACATCTGAATTGAAGATCTACCTTAAACTCTTTGCATAGAATTGGTAAATACACACAGTGCACCGATAACCTGCTGAAGAATAACAAGTGTTTTGGCGGCATTGTGTTTCATGACTTGCTTGGTTTATTTGTGTAGGTTTCACTATCATGCTAAACAACATAATCAGCACAAAATTCTGAAGTTTATCGGTGTGCAAACACAAACAAACTGAATTTTTCAATTACAGTATTTTGTTTATATACTACATTCACATATATATATATATATATATATATATACATACATACATACATACATACATACATACATACATACATACATACATACATACATACATACATACATACATACATACATACATACATACATACATACATACATACATACATACATACATACATACATACATACATACATACATACATACATACATACATACATACATACTATATTCACATGTGTACATACTCTCACATCTTCACTTTGAACTCGTGGGCAATGATTGATTATGATGCTATTTATTCCCACATATTTATCGTGTATGAACAACGTAGTCTGACTTATTTCCACTTACTATTAACACATCCGTTAAGTTGAGGTTTTGTTCTCTGAAGAAGCGAATTCCACGAGGTCACGGAATGTCAGGAATTTACTTTTTTACCTCATTGAGATTTTACAAATATATTTCCTTTATGAAGAGACACTGTCTGACATGGTGTCTACTCACCTCTGTTCATTGATGTATAGAGATAGACCACATCGCTATCAATTATCTTTGGATAAGTTTGGTGAAGGAACTTCTCTCCCTCTGCTGCAAGCTCATGGACAGAAACCACACACTGATTTGAACATGCTTGTTGCTGTGCTTAGATTAACTTAAGAAAATTACCAGTTACAGATGGTTCCGAGCTCTGCATCGTGATAAAAATTCTAAAACTGCTTTGCATGAAGAAATGGCAGAATATAACAAAGTCACTCATCTTGAAGAGTCTTGTCGCCATCTTTAGTATGCTGGCAAAACAGTACTAAAGACCGTAAGTGATCTTCAGATAGGGGTTATAGAGAACCATTTGGTCTCAGTAGATTCTTCTGAATTAATGGATGCACGTAAACACACACTTGGGGTCTATCAGCCCAATGAGCAGCGAAAGCATCTTAAATTTAGACTAAAAAGGAGTCTATGAAATTACTATGAGCAGTGGCAGGCAATGAAGATTAAAGACTTGAGAAAAACAGTGGCTAACAGTAGACAGATACTTAGACTAACAAAAGGAATCGGGGTAAAAAATGTCTGCCACTTGTGAGATGATAGCCGAGGAGGATGGATCTGAAATTCACTGGTAAGAGAGACAAATAAAACGATAGGCAGAACTCTTCTGGAGATAGCTCAGCTGGCCTGAAGTTACTCTTCTGTTTTAGACCGTCCATCTGCATTCATTAGATGTGCAGATGAAGCTCAGGAAAGGCGAACTCAAGAAAACCGCGTAGATTTCATACCTGATCATAGATGTATCAACCACATCTTTCTTCGTGTCTTGTAACGCATCCACACTTACAGGTGCCTGGTACTAGTTGTATTTCTAGACCGGGAGGTGGCATTCGACTCCGTCAGTAAAGTGATTTTACGTCAGTGTCACTTAGTGAACTTGGTGCGGGGTAGGTACATCACTGTGTTGAAGCCTGTGGTTTTTTCTCAGCCCATGGTAAGACATAAGATTAGTTTTATACGTCATAATGTTTACTCGCCCCATTTTTATCTGTCTTTGTTATATTTGTGCCTACGGAGATCTACCTCTTCTCTTTTGTTTTTGTAAGCATTGACCCTGTTGAAGGAGGCCTTTTAGTAGACCTAGAATACTTAGGTCACAATATACTTCTCGGTTAAGATGCTAACAAGATGCAGGCTTTTCTGGATATTTTGTGTAATAGTTTAAGCATGTTCTGAATGAGTTTGCAATAACACATATGTAACTTGTTGCTCTTGAATGCTTCGTATGAAAATAGAGATTAAAATGGTGGAATTTGTCACCCACTTTACCTGCTTCAGAAGTTGGAACAACCATATTGGGTAAGTGATCGACAAAATTTGTGCATGGAGAAAATAGGTTCTCTTGTACTCTACCGAAATATATCATGTAAGACTCCAGCGTGATATTCGATTGCCTACCAGGGGTAGTTCATTGTTCTCTTATATGACTGTGAAGCATAGTCATTAAAGGTAGAGGATATGCGAAGGCTTCAGGTGTTTGACCACCTTTATCTTCAAACTAACAATCATGTCATGGAATTACCACTTCAGTAATGCAGAAGTCAGACGTAGATTCCTAGGCGAAAGAAGTCAGTCGATTCGGTTGAGAACATTCAGTGACCTGCACGATTACCGCGTGTGTTATGCATACCTAGTCAACTTATGCTTCATCACGAAATGTTAACTGAAATACATCTTGGCTAGATTAAAGATTTGTGGCAGCCAAACTCAGAAGTAGTATCATTTCTTGGACTCCTTCAGGCTTGCGACAAAATGTTGATTTTCCGGTTGAGTTCTTCTTGACAACCAAGACCGGTAGTTGGAAGCTTTATGTAGCAGATCCTACCATCAATCTTAGTGGCACAAATTCATCCATACATTATCTTCATCTTGAACGTCATTCCGATGTTTATTATCCTTTCATTCCTTCATTTCTGTTTACGACTTCCTACCACCTCTGATTACTTTCTTCTTCATTTCCTTATCATTCACCTTTGTACTTTCTACCATGAGATGCTGATATAAGATGTGGCAACTTATACAGTTACGCAGCAATATCAGTCCTAATTTTTTTATATTGTTTGAGTGGATTTGTATAGTGTTTGAAATCATATCACTCACTTAAGGATATTGCTGCTGTATCATCGTAAACATTAAATTTTGGCTCCCGAAAATCTCGCAACATTATAACCGTTGCTTATTGTACCTATTTATTCAAATTCTTCTCTTTCGGTCCTATGGTTAAACCTTTAAAACTTACCTTACCTGTTTATATTTTGAAGGACAAGCGTTACTGTTACCCGATGCACAGACTAGTTATTACTAGTACTTGCACGTGATTGAAATGTTGCATTACTTATCTAGTTGCCGCAATATTTAATCAGATTGCGCTCCTAAGTTAGGATAACTCAATCAAACCTGAGTCAAAGCACTATCTGGATCACTCACTGTTCAGCAATTGTCTAGTACAGTGACCAATCAGTTCTAATAACTGATAAAACAATAGACTAGAAGAAATATGCCAGTATGCAACATTTTGAGAACGTTTCACCAATTTTCAAGATGGTTAGGACGGAACTTTGAAGATAAGTTTCTGAAACGTTGCATGTAAGCATAGGGATTGAAGTACAAATTTTTACTTGATACTATCGATGGTTTAAGAAGAAGAGAAGGCTGGCGCTTTTGTGTACGCTGATTCTTTTTTGACAACTCACCGCTTGGTAATCATCACATTCTGCCACCTCTGTCAATGTAACCTGAAAACCAGTCGTCTGTTTTGCTCTGTTAGAGTTGCGTTGAGAAAGTCCCAGTTAAGATGACTGAATTGCTTGGACCAACATTTCTTAGTCAGAAAAGGAAACATTTGAACAACTTATCTGCGGGCATTTAAGTGAAACTGGAAATACTTTATCTAAGTAAGACTCACTTGTGTAGTTTACAATTAGATTACTAGATATCACAGCGATAAAGCTCAGTCTTCTCTATTCCTTAATCACCATGAGTAATCTTAAACACCCCACTAATCACAAGGTTAATTCTTTTAATACTGACTTTAGCGGTAATCGCTGTATTCATACTGCACTATCAGTCTGGTTACCAGAGCTTTTGAGAATAGATAATATCGAAATGAGTTCACACCTAGGCTAAGTGATAGAGTAAAATCGAATGGGTGAGTACCAGTAAAAGTAAATTTAAATCATTACATTGAATTCTCTTCTGGAGTTTAGTGAAAGAAGAATGTCTTAAATTACTATCAAGAGATTGAATTGAGCATGAAAATTATTGCCGTCTGAATTACCTACATAAAAAACATTGAGAAGATGACTCTGATTTCTAATATAATGATTGTACTTTGATTTTCATACATTTTTTCAGGATATTTTAGACTCGAAAAATGGTACTATTAAAGAACTTCAGTATGAACTTGCTCGAGTTTGCAAGGTAACTTTTATATATTATATAATGTCGTAATTTAGTTTCAAATGGAAACAGTACTAAGTTACTTTTTCATTTACTTTTAGATAACTCCACTAATCTATTTTTTGACATGTGATGTTTCTATCTACAGGCTTGTGATGAAACAACTGAATAATAACTGGATTCTTCAGTTGAACTTCTTAAAGTTTTTATGAGAAACGATGACCCTTGAGATCAAGTAATTCAGATTTTAGGCCAGATGCCCGTCTATGGCAGTGAAGGACGGTTACGTTTCATTAAGAATTGACAGAAGTTTGAAAATATGGACCATTGGGTTCTGGCCCGGTGATGGAGTGGCAACGTGTTTGCTGCGATATATAATTCTCCTGGGTACGACCATTCAAAGGGTCGTGACTTCGCGCTGATGAGTAGTGTTATGTTAAAATGAAACAGTTGTACAATTCTCTCCGATTTTCAGTGCTTCTCTGGCCAATTTCAGTCTCTGATGAAAGTCCCTAAGAAAGAAATACTGTGGTAAACTTACTGCAGTTCATGTTCTTAAAAATACAAAAAGCTGATGAAAACTGCTACTCTATGCTAAATCCACTTTATGGGAATATTACTTGTTGAGTTGCGGTGACAAGCAAGGAGGTGAGAGAGAAAGCCTATCATCAGTATCAGAAAGTAATCAAGTCCCGTCACCAAAAAATAAAGCTACGATACATGGATTCCTGTGTCACACTTCTCATAGAGTCAGTTGTAATTCTTGCCAACCAAATGATTATGGTGTTATGACCTCAGATTTCTGGAGAGAATAAAAGTATCTTAACCAGATATTTTTTTAGTATTCTCTGTTCTCCAATGATTGCCAAAACAATATCAGTCTGTGATGAACACTATTTCCAAATCAAGTCACGAGACTGAATCACTGAATTTTCTATTAAAAGTACTTTAAGCTTTCAGATTTCACATGTTATTCTCAAATCTAGAGCTTGAAACTGAAAGATTGAGGGAAATGTAGCGAAAGGAAATACCTTAGTAAAGGAATCCTTATGAACTAAAGTGTAAATCTTATCGACTGATTAAATGAAGGAGTATTCAATAAAGGCAATCAACGATCTTGGCGGCTAACAGAGGAATTTAAGACTCGCATTTCGTCCATAACGGAACAAGTTAGCTGGATTCACCTGCATCGCAGTGAGTGGTGTTGTCCTCACTGAGGCTCTAACCAAATATCGAGGCATCCATACAGGAGCCCATTTGCCAACAGAGATCGGGCAATTCGACCCTGTTTAGCAATGAGAAACTACAGGTATCATAACAACGAAATATCTTCATCTTCAGCTCAAAGGTAAAACATGCATTCGACAATATCGTCTTCACTATCTGAACAAGAAGAAAGCGATCAAGTCGAGAAGTGTAATCTAAGCAAAATATTGAAAAACTGAACGGGCTTTTTGTAGATAAGGCCAGTTAAAACCAGAGTTGAGAAATAACTGTATCCAGTTGCTTTTAATTGAGCAAAAAACTTTCAGCTTATCACGCTTTATTTCCATGTTCCAGCTTGTTAAATATCTATTCTATTATTGTGCTGAACACTAAACAAATTCAAAGTAAACGATAACAGTTTAGAAATGTAGGCGAATATTGTTTATTTTCATCTCAAAAACTACCGTTACAACATTTATTTGTAACTTTATTCAACTTTATTTAAGAACTTCTCAAGTGAAAATTTAATTCTAGCGTTTATAGTCGCCTAAATAAACAAAAATTTACAAGGTCTGTGCTAAGCTTCACCTGGACACACTCACTTGACAGTCGGTTTACGTTTGAAGACTGTCTTATTTCCTCGTAATAACAAGTGGTTCTATATTCAACAGTAGTTGATACAGATAGCAAACTCGCACCCATTTTCGTGTAACAGTAGAAAATGCAATCTACAGTCAAAAAAAGATGCGAAGAAAAACTTCAATGTAGCCACTGATCGACCCATTACATCGACCAGTCAGACACATGCCGACAACAAACCAGAGGAAAAAGAGGGAATAAATATTAGTTACTTATAAGTAGTAAAACTAATAACATTGAATTAACTTTTCAATCCTGCTGTTGTTCAACTGTACAGAAATATAGGTATGAAAAATTATCGGTGATCTTAACTGTATTATATATATCACAAAAAAATCAGCAGCAAAGTATTTCCAAAGAATTCATTGAAAACCGAAATTTTCAAGCCAAGTAGGCTTGTTGGCTTCAAGATACTAATCATACTATAAACTGAAACGATACCTCTTTTTTGTACAGTTACTATTTGCAAAGCATTGACATGAAGTGGCTAGAATGATGGAAGTTTATTCGGTACATTCAGCGCTGAAATCACCTATAGCTCTTGAAAATTGACTCATGTTGGAGAGTTTAAATGGTCTCTCACTTCTTGACACTATCACTCACATTCCTTTGGGCTAAATAGCTATGTTTTTAAACTAGAGTATGATATAATTTCGTACTTATGAAATAACCTCTGACATGAGATTTTCTTATTGGGGTAGACACTTTGCGAGCACCGAGTTCAGTTAAAAGCGTATTCAATACCTATATATTATTAAGGGAAGTATTAATGATTATATAGCTCAGCTTTCTTCAGTGAAACAGTCTATTTTCGTTGTGATGTAACTCAAATCAACTAAGAGCATCGTTCAGGAATGCGTTCAGAAGAAGAAATTTATAATTTTTTTCAAGATTACTGATACGTACTCACATTATGATGAGTACCATATTCAAATGAGTTATCAGTGACCTTTTTTAAGCTAGAAGTACATACTGAAGGACGTCATGTACACAGACTGATCATCAAGTTGTAACCAATGTAATTTGTATAAGCGGTCAACAGTAAACCATAAATGATATTTCAGCGATCATGTTGTAGAGTCAATCTGTCAACAGTTGGGAATTTTAACAGTGAGCAATGTAAACCTATCTCTCTCAGGCGATATAAGTTTCCTCAGTATCTTGGATGCGTCTAACTTCAACACTACTAACAAATACAAATTGAAAATGTTGATTCATTTCAGCTTTAAATCATAGCTTCAATCCTTTGACAATCTCATACCGAAATACTAATCAACTACATGTTATCTCTTTTCTTTTATAGTGTTATTTGAAACTCTGATTTTACTTATTTCTCTTTTCATGCATAATCATGAAACTTTCAGTAGAGCTTAAAACGAATACAACATATATATTTTAAACTTTTTTCAGGCTCATAATGATCTACTCATGGCTTGTGAAGGAAAACTTCAACAATTTGGTATACCTGTACAAGAACTTGGTTTTCATCCACTAAAAACTACACTGAACTCTCAGAAATTAGGTCAAGGACCAGCTGGTTTGATCTCAGTGCCACCATAAAATGTAGTGTAATATGAAGCCTAAAATAAAATGAATATAAACTACACAAAAACTGAATTCAATACACAAAACATTTTTGTTTTTTTAGAACGATTAAACATGAATTTTGAATTGAACAATTTTTTATTACAAATCTAGTCAAAAAACTATGAAGCAGTTATTGGTTTTTAATTATCATTTGAACAAGTAAACTCAATTTAAAGAAACAAATTGAGAAGTATCTCATATTTGGAATAAAAATGATAAATTCTGCTTAATAACTTTTTATGGTTGATCATATTTAATGACATGGCAGGTGAGTGATTAGAAGATAGTTAGCTTGTCAATAAGATAATCGTTCTGTTATTTGTTACTTCTGGTGTAGTACAGATGTTTTGGTTGTATTGTCTTCTTTGAGTTGAGTTGTTTATTCGTGGAGCTTTCATTGTCTTTCTAGACGACATCATCAGCACAAACTTCAGTAGGAAATGAGTTGTTAATATCTCTCCGTGACTGATTAAGCAACTTGCCTTGACGAAATGGTTTGTGAGTGGTTGTTCTCTTTGATTGTTGATTCATTGACTGTTCCTCTGCATAACCCCTGACCTTCTTGTCATTGATCATTTTTCTCATTGGTTGATAGTTTGGGTCTACGTCTATACATCTGTCGATTGCTGACTGACTGACTGACTGACCTGAATGTCAAGCTTCTAGGAATTCTCTGACATTATTTGTGTTCCTTCTGTCCGAAATTTCTACACTGTCAAAAAGAGAACTCATGTCCATAATCATTCACCTGCATTTAAATAAATAATGAAATGTCATGACGTTTAATAGCCAATTGGTGTTCATGTAAGCGAAGGCGAAGAGGAAGACCACTTTGTTCAAAGTAATGTTGACTACAGTTATTACAGTTGATTTTGTAAATGATATTTGGTTTGTCTTCTTTGGTGGTTGCATCCTTTGGTCTGCACAATAGGATTTGGAAGGAATTTGTTGGTTTATGAGCTACACCAATTCCAGGCGGTCTCAGTAATCTTGTCGTGATTTCCGATGTATTCTTTATTTATGGTAGGGTGATGTGTTTGTTGATTTCTATCGATGACTTTGAAGTGTGTAAGTGACCACTTGATAATCGGACTTGTTGACTGATTTATTCCGGATTGTTTTGCTCTGAACTTTCACTAAATCCTTCTCTTACTATGAAATTACTGTTACCGTTATATCGTAGTTCGTACTAGTCTTGAGTTGTTTATTGAATGATGGTCCTCGTTCATTAATATGTGTATATCAGATACCACTAAGTGTTAGTTGCTGTGAAACCAGCGAAACTTTTGTTTAGTATTTAATAGAAAGGGGTCATGTATCTTCAGTGGATTACATTTAGTAACTTTGATTTCTATGTTTTGAGCACACTGCTGGAAATCGTTGAATTATTTTCCTAAAGATTGCTAAGAATGTTATGATGTGAGAACAGAAATTAATGTAATTCCATACTGCATTTGTTTATTTGATTTATAACACACAGTGAGTGATACAATAGTATTTACACGATGATGACGTTTCGAACATCAATTATTGCTCATTATCATATCAACATTTGATTTTTATAGTTACGTCACCTCATATGATTTGTATTTATTGGTAGTAAAATCTTCCATATGTCTGGAATGGGTGTTGCATCATTCCTATCATGTGTTGAGTGTTGAATCGGTGAACAAAGATTCAGTAATCAATCTCCCTCTCCACCTATTTAAATTGGACTGAGATACGGTGGCTTTGTCCCAGCCTATTGTGTGCTTGTATGTTAATACATGCAATGCAATAGCCAAGTTTTTTTCCAGATTATTCATCTTATTCCGGTCTGTCATTCTACATTCAGCTAAATTCGTATGTTCGGCTATTCTGACTGACCCCGATCGGCTAATTTGACCTATGCACTTGACCTCACAACCATTACATGGAATTTGCTAGATTAGATTATTTTGCTTAATTGGTTCTATTGAATTTTGAGGGAGTTGTGGGGATTTGGAAATATTTCAAGTTGTTATTCATCGTAGATTGACATCAGTTGGAGGATCTTTAAGTCTACAAAGCTTATTTCTGAGTGAGTTTGAAGGTTTCAAATGCCACCCCAATACCAGCTTTGTTGAGGATCCTACGTAAAGTTTCTGATGTGCCTTCTTTGTAGGGTAACACAATGGAGGCTGTGAACTCCTTTCTACTTGTGTTGTCGTTAGTATTCATACTCACGTTACTGTTGCTTTTTCGTTTCTTGTATATTTGTACTAATTTCTTGATAAACTATGGAGGATAATTATCAGCTATTAGTGCTTCTTTTACGTGTTTCAATTCCCTGTTTAGGTCCTTGGGCTGATTAGTCAGTTTTGCAGCCTTATCACTTACATATTTGACTAAACCTGCCTTAACTGACATTAGATGGGATGACTTGAAGTCTAGATACCTGTTGGAATGTATCGGCTTTCTGTAGACGGTACTATTCAAACCACCATTAGTCCTTCGTTTTATGCTGCAGTCCAACATAGTTAATTCTCTTTGTTAATTATCTACCTAGTAAGTGAATTGGATTGTGCCCACTACTGAGTTTATATGTGTTAGGAAATTGTCGATATGTTCTGATTTCAACACAGTAAATGTGTCACCCGCCATTTTCTTAATGCAGGACTAAACATTTGTAAAGCCATGTCTTCCCAGCTATCCATAAACATATCTGCTACTATTGGGAATATTTGCAATCCGATTGCTACTCCTTCTGTTTGTCTGTATATTTTGTCCTGAAACTTGAAGACTGTGGAGGTCAGGCACAACTGTACGTCTAATATGATCTCATCAACCAATATCTTAGTTCTGTGATTATGTTCTGAGTCAATATTTAGTTGACATCCGACTCAGAACTCATATTAGGCGTACAGTTGTGCTTGACCTCTACAGTCTTCAAGTTTCAGGACGAAATATACAGACAAACAGAAGGAGTAGTAATGGGATCGCCAATATCATGAATAAGATCAATAATCGGGAAAAACTCAGCTATTGCAAAGCACGCATTAACACACAACCACACAATAGGCTGGGACAAAGCCACCGTATCTCAGTCCAATTTAAATAGGTGGAGAGGGAGATTGATTACTGAATCTTTGTTCACCGATTCAACACTCAACACATGATAGGAATGATGCAACACCCATTCCAGACATATGGAAGATTTTACTACCAATAAATACAAATCATATGAGGTGACGTAACTATAAAAATCAAATGTTGAAAGTAGTATGATCACATTGATATGATAATGAGCAATAATTGATGTTCGAAACGTCATCATCGTGTAAATACTATTGTATCACTCACTGTGTGTTTTAAATCAAATAAACAAATCCAATATGGAATTAAATCCTACCACGGTGCCCTAGGTTTTACACGTATATCAAAGAAAAGAATGCAATTATGTCCGCTTCACTACACAGTGACCTGAATATATTAGAATCATCCTGATTGGTCTACAGCTCAAACGGAGACTGTTTCGTCCTAGTATGGGACTTCTTGGAAGTGCGCATCCAGGACTGTGCCACGGATCGAACCCGCGACATTCAGGTCTCTTGGCCAGCATGTCACCATCGAGCCACTGGGTCGGGATCCAGCTGTCCATATTTCCAACTTCTGTTGTTGTGGATGCGCACTGCTGAGGAGTCTCGTACTAAGACGAAACAGCTGTCCAGTACTCCCAGGTTTCTTAATAGCCAGGTGATAAATATACATAAGGCTGCCTTCTAAAAACTGCTACATGAAATAATGTGAGAACGTAGTCTGGTAGCAGTAGAGTAACTTTGAGGCTTCAATACATTAATGTAGTTATTATTATTTGTTCCTTGGGTTCCTAGTAGAACATAGGGCTTCAGTAGCAGGTCTCCATTGCACTCTCTTCTCTACATTCTTTACAACCTGTTTCCACGACTGCCCACAACATTCCATTTCTTCCTGACATGATCTCCTCCATGTCACCCTCTCCTCGGATGCCCAACTCGTTGTTCCCCCTTAGATTCCACCCGAGGACCTGGTCTGGGGCGTGATATCCTCAAACGGTCTTCTCAGTGTATGCGCAATCCAACTCCACTTTCTTCTGCATATTTGTTGGGTGATGGGTTCTTAGTTGGTTCGCTGGCAGCCAGAGTTCCTTTTGCTTATTCTTATCATTCTGGCCATCTCATCTTCAGTGTCAGTATCAAGTGAGTGTAGGCGGCAGTTGTTGATAAATGTCTTTAGTTTGTTGGACGTGCTTTTCGTCACGCTCCAAGTTTCTGTGGCTGGGCTGCTGGTGGTATTTCTGAACGAGTTGCAGGTGGTGGCGGTGGTCAATTAAAAAGATTTTTGAAGTGGTCAGGCCATCGTTTCCTTTGTTTCTCTTCTTTCGTAATTAAATTTCCGTCATCATCTTTTATTGGCTTCGTCTTCGTTGATCTCTTCCCAGATAGTAACCTAGTTATTTGATACAGTGTTGTCAGGTCTCTGGCTCTCCTACCAGCAGCCTGTCCTGTTTCACTTACCAGTGTGTCGTAGAAGTGTTTTTTGTCTTTGTGCACACTCTTCTTCACTTTTTTGTCCAGTGTAGCGTTTTATACGTTGTACTCAGTTCCTCTTTTCGTTGTGCATCCTTGCACTGGTTTATCCTCTGCTTCACCATCTTCCTCTCCCTCCTCTTTCAGGTTCCATGTATCCGCTGACATCCAATCCTTGTCTTACATCTACTTCTTTCTTTTTAACACGGTTATGTAGGTTTATTTCCATATCTCTTTCACAAAATTTCAGTGTTCTTTCATGCAAGTTCCATCGGGAAGATGGTTAATTTTCTACTGATGTTTGACGTGAAGATGTCCTTTGTAGTTTGGTCCTTCAGTTTCTGTTCTGGGTGTTGAACTTGAACTGTGGTCTATCGTCAGCTTCTGTGAAGGCTTTCAACTTGATTTTCAAGTTTCCTGGCACTAAACAGTGAGTAGAGTGAACCTACATCTGCTCTCCTTCTTCATCTGATCTTGTGCCCAATAGGCTGTGTCTCCACTTTTTACACATTGAAATGAAGTCGATCTGATTTTAGTGTGTCCATCTGGTGAAGTACATGTCGATTTGTGAATATCCTTGTGTTTGTACACACTGCCTCAAATCACCAAATCGTTGAATGTGCAGAAATCTGCAAACAGTTCTCTATTCTCATTCATTTCACCGAGTGCCTCTCGACCCATGATAAGTTCTCTTCCTGTGT